ATTTTTATACTTCGGCACATATTTTTAATTTAATATGATTCTTATCGGATGTAATGGTAATAAATAGATATTATTGATAGGGAGAAATAGAGAAATAGACCAAGACTTGAGATGAATTAAAATTAATAGGCTAATAGTTTATATAAGTTAATTAATAGATCAAATTATTATTTTCGTCCATAACTTGTCTGGTTATGAACCATAACTTGACAAATTATTCACGGTTTTTGTCTATAACTCGTCTGGCTATGAATCATAACTTGACAAGTTTGTCCATAACGTATCTGGTTATGAACCATAACTTGACAAGTTATGACATATTAATTTCTATAACTAAAAATTGACATATATACTTTCTTAAGGTTTTCATATTGGCATATTTTCTATTATTTCCCTTATTGATATTAAGTAGAAAGACCCGTGAGATTAAGCCTACAACATTCCACTTAAAAACAATAGATCTAAACACTATTTTACAATCTTCTTGATCAACTGCGTGAGACAAAAGGAATCCGAGGAAAGGGATCGATTCATAACAAGATAAACAACAGATGGGGTTGAGGATACCAAAATCTCAGACGACGATTTTTTTTTTTTTTTTATATTTATTTATTTTTTAATTTTTGCAATTGGGTCTGTCCTCTGCTTTATCTGTTCCACTGGAAATTGGCTAGAGAAAGAAGACAAGTATCATGTTCCACTGGAAATTGGCTAGAGAAAGAAGACAAGTATCATGTCCCACGTAGATTATCAAAAAGAAAAAAATGATAAAAAAAAAGAAAAAAAATGAAGTCCCCACAATATTCGGTGGATGTGGCTAGCTGTTTTGAAAGGTGTAGTTGTACCAAACTAACATGCTTAATTTTCCATAAACCATAATTCCTTATTTGTATAACTTTCAACGAATCAATTATTAATTATCGCTATCAATATGTTTTCTTTTAGCTAGAAGTTAATAATAGTAACGCAATTTTTGATGTTTTCTTTTTTGAAGGAATTATAGAATTTTCTGTGCTCTTGTTTCTTTTTATTTGGTTCAGCTCAAATTATTGCTGATCTCTTTTATTAAAGAGGATATAGCTGGACAACAATGAATGTATTAATCAATCAGACATGTAATTATATACTTTTGGTGCCCAAATTAATTATGCAATTTTAAAAAAAATTTGCACTTTTTAATTGTCATAACTCTACCTTTGTCCTTTTTTTTTCGGTAAATAATTTTTTGAATATTTTATAAAATTTCGTGGTAATATAAAGCTCATATTCTACTGATAGAGCAATTTTAAACCGTCATAACATCATAAAATTATGTTAAATTATCATATTTTTTTAATGCTGTATGATCATGCTACAAGGTTTAAAATTGTATCTTACTAATAAGGCGATAGATTGAAATTATCCCTTTTACATGTCTTATGCTCTAGTTAGAATCTTTGTAGCATATAGGTGTCTGAGCACTAAAATACATAATAGGGGCCCCATACCCAATTTTTTAACAGATGACAACCAAAGTTTTCAACCAATCAAAATTATTGAGAGAATTTGCCCAAATATATATATATATATATATTTATATATTCTCCCATCTCTCTATTATCGCCATCGACATAAGTAGGGATCCATGATGTTGTCTTTGACATTAATTAAGCCAGTAATCTTTATTACCCTTAACTAAGAATTAAAAAAGAAAAACCAACAAGAAGTTTAAGAAGAATAACAACATTAGTTCAACAAATAAAAAAAAAATCCCAATTTACCATCATTTGATTAGTAATGTAATTATTTCGCTTCAAGAAAACCCCAATACCACTTTTCCATTAGACGTGGCCCACAAATTAAGCTTCACCAAAAATGATAGAAAAATACAATAATTATTACTTCATCTTCATCATGCATGCTACCAAAATATAAATAGAGAAAAATATACTTAGCATATCCTCTTTCATCACTCACATTACTTTTGTATCACCTTTCCATTCAACCAAAGAAAAGAAAAGAAAAAAAGAAAAAAAGAAAACCCCACTCTTCAATAGCCATATTTTACATGATGAACTAGCCACTTTTGCAAAAAGAAACCCCAACATCAGAACAAATGGAGAGCGATCTCCGCCGCGGAACGCCGTCGTATTTACCGGGGTGTATGACGCCACCGACGTGTTTTCCCATCCACGAGGAAATGGAGTACACCCGCCTCGGCCACCGCGGCGGTTCTAGTAGAAGAAACCGGCGATGGAGGAGCTTTCTTTGGAGGTTGGTTAGAGATAGTAAAAATATGGGATTTTGTGGAATACCAAATCAAAAATCCATTTCCTTCAATTATGATGCCGTTAGCTACTCTCAAAATTTCGATGAAGGTTGTCATGTTCATGAAGAGCCAAGGCGGCGTTCCCTTGTATATCCGGATGTTAGATGGTACTTTCATAAGTAAATACCTAGGCATTCATGATATATCCTAGTTTTCTAAATCATATTATGTTCATAAAAATGTTCCTTTTATTATGTTGTTTTTAATATCATTGCAATTTTGTCTGCGTCTTGTTCTTAGAAACTTTGATTTATTTTGATATCATATATGGATGTACATTTTAAGGCAGTGAAATTAGAAACTTATAAATCTTCCTTAAAAAAAAAAACAAATACAAATCCACCATGAATGACTTGATGTACATATTATATATTGGATATATATGTGTTAAGCATTGATTAATATGTGATTTCTGTAATAGAAGTATTACTTCCGAATATGAAAATCCATGAGTATGATATATTTAAAGTTTATTGACTTACATTTTAGTCGTTTTTTGTGAGTTGTGATTAAGTTTAAATTAAGCACATGCATTAGCTTGTTCTGTTTAGCATTGGGAGTTGGATTTGGAATATACTAAGGAGGAAGAAATCATGGTTTTTGGAATATACCCAAATTGTGTTTAATTTCAACTGTTTTTCTCCCCCTACCTGTTTTGAATTTCAATTATTCTTGAGCAATCACAAATTTGCTGGCACTTCCAATGAAAAATGTCCACCAAGATCTAAGAGAGTAGAACAACCGGCATAGGAAGGGACAAAAGCAGCCACCAAAATTAGACCACCAATTGAATGGCACATCGCGAAAACGCGACGTTGACCCTTCCGACCACCGTGGCCACATTGCCCGCCATAAGAACAGCAATGCCGATGGGATTAAAATCCACGAGTTGAGGATCCATTGGACTACCAATGCTCTCGAAAATACGATTGAAATAGCAGGGTAAAACTTTTTAATTATAGATTAAACCGTTAAAAGTTAATTCAGCAGTTAAAACAATAGTTTATTTTCTAAACATTCCCATTTATAAAATAAAAATGATAAATTTTACGAATTTTCTCTTAACCAGATCACTTGTCATTTGTCATGTCAACATTATCTTTAAACTCATAACCAATATCAAATGCTATAAAGAGCTAGCTACTAGTATTTACCGATGTTTTTTTTTCCTTGTTTTTAAGATCTAGTTTCTCAGCAAAGTGGAGTATTTATATAGAGAACTTTTATAGTACGAATTCTTCTTTCTTTCTTTCTTTATTTATTTATTATTTATTTATTATTTTTATCAACAGGAGTTGCTTACACGATAAAAATTTTCAATTATAGATCAAACCGTTAAAAGTTAATTCAATGGTTTCTTTTCTAAACATTCCCATTTATAAAATAAAAATGATAAATTTTACGAATTTCCTTTTAACCAGATCACTTATCATTTGTCATGTCAACATTCTCTTTAAACTCTAAAATGCACTTGTTGTGCCCTTAGTCTATAACACGTCTCCAAATTTACTCCCAATATTGAAAATTTAGCTAAATACTAAAGTTTTGAGACTGAGCGACAAGATTGTTTTGTAGGTAAATACTTGTTAGTTTCATTTTGAAGTATCATCCTTATGATATGACGTGGCTGATCATCAATTAGAGCAAGATGGGATTTCTTGTTGCAAAGAATATATCAAATGCGGCTACTGTTTGGAATGTATTTAGGGTTGTTTATTTGCACAACTCAAATTATAACTTGGGCTGTGTATGTAAGAAAAAAATACTGTAGTAAAAAATTTAAATTTATGTGATAGAAAACACTGTAACAAGATGGCTTGATTCATGACTTGAGTCGTGAAATGAACAAGACCTTAAAATAGTAATTTGATGTGAATCGAATCTCGTATATTTTACAACGTATAAATTGAGCATGTTTTAGAACATCATATTTTATAATAATACGTTAATATAATGTTAGGTGTGACTATTTTATTCTATAAACTAATAGTAAATTAATACGGCCATATTATATAATACGGCCTTTTTTTTGTGTATTATATATATTGAATTATTTTATAGTGGCTCCATAATCTAGGTTAGAATAGGCACGACTGAGAGTCGTAGTCAGGATATGATACGTAGTCCTGCCGGAACTTATAATTGTCTAAATATTAAGGGGGTAAAATGAAAATTTATATTTTCTAAAATAACATTTTGACCCCTTAATTTTTGAAAAAGTACAAATCTGACCATGAAATTCTTTAAAAAAATTACATTTTAACCCTAAATTTTTTTAAAAAAATTAAATTTTAACCTCAAAATTTTTAAAATTTATATTTTGACCCTTATATAGTATAGCATGACACCAAACACTATATTGTATTATGATAATACAATACACCTTATACAATACAATACAATATAAGCTACCCAACATGATCTTAGTTTTTGTGTATTACCTGTGTTTCTGGATACACATACCAATCTGTCAACTAAATTTAAAATGAGAAATTCTTACATTATATTACATCTTAATTATTATAATAATCTTTGATATCTGATAAAATTTATTATGTTTGATCATACAAAATCAAAATTCGAAGTTATTATATGATAAACAAAAGTCCAAAGTACTTGTCATTCATGGACTAGAATTTAGCTAGCTAATCACTTGCTCCAAAAAGCTAGCGTTCTTCGTCTCTCGTTGGGTATTTTTGTTTAAGAGAAATTGATAAAGGTATGTCCAGGTCCTCAGTTGCAATATTGTTGGACCTATTTATTTAGTTTTCTGCAGTTTCATATGAAAAAAGTAATTGTAATAAATATAAATGAGAAGACAAATGCACGCATTGAAATTTTCATCCAAGGGTGTGAAGTTTATGAGCAATATTTTTCTACCTTTTCTTTGGTGTGATCCTTTAGCATTCTTGGCTAGGTTGCCTAAGTTGAAGGCGGATTGGAATAGTTGACTCTTCACCATTGTTGAGACAATAAGTTATGAAGTTGTTTTCGCTCGTTGCAGTCATTTCCCTTGCGTCACAAACCTGGGAAAAGTGTACATTTCTAATTAGAGCTTAGGGAATTTGGGAGAAAAGTGCTATTTTTTTGGCATATATATATATATGTATATTTATTTTAAGAGATATATATTGAGCTTGTTTAATTATGTAATGCACAAGAGATTACAGGGAAGTACCTTCTTGTGCAATTCAACGTTTTCTTGAGAAATGAGGAATGCCTTCTTATATAACTCAATGTTTTCTTGATGAATAAGGTTACACTATCATGGAATTACCAACAAAGACTAAGTACCACCAAAATTGAAAGAAGCCATTCTTAATAGATCGTAATCAAAAAGTGTAGAACAAAAATGATAGTAAGTGATATCTATTTTTTAAAATAAAAAATGAAGGAGTACTTTATCACCAAAAAAATACCTTTCGGCTTAGTTCTTGTATTTCATCAGACGACATTTGTTCCTGCATTATACGGAAAGCGTGTTAATAAGTGTTGTACAATCTTATTAGGTTAATTATATGTGTGCCAATCGAAAAGTTAAAGCTAGCTAATTAGTGATAAAAAGAGGAGTAAGTATATAAACAAATTTAAAACAAACAGAAATAATTAATTATACATAAAGCATTACTTACTTTGGAGGATTAAGTGTAATTCTCACCTTTTTCATACGGATGCCCTTTAGACTTATTTCCAATTTGTTTTCGAGGTTTTGTAACTCCTCCACGTTTAAACCATGAAGTTCTTTTCCCATCAATTGTCTGTTATAATCCAAAATATTCTGGTTAATATTGATTCTTCTCATTCGAGTGCATATTATGATTTCCACTATATATTATGATAAAGACATTTTTAGTCAAATAGATGTGTAAGTTTATACAGATACTAGATCTTTCCACTTAACAGGTTTTTCTTTTAAGATGTTCTACAGTTCTTGCACTAAAGTAACATAGAAATTGTCTTGATATTTTGCTAATAGTTAATAAAGACTAGATCATACATAAACAAATATTGACGCCACTATATAGATCTAACCAAAGTATTTTCCATATATATATATATATGTATGTATATATGAAGAAAATTAGTTGTCCGGAATTCGACTCAATTCTATTTGTAGAATTTATGTATATAAGTTGATATCTAATTTATTAAGTTTTATTACGATTTTACCATGCACCAAGTTCTAAGAGTTTGAACTTTGAACGTCATTTAAAATAAATATAGAAAGCGGATTATTTTGTCTAAGAAAAGAGGGCTCTATAATTATGTAATATAACTAGAGTTTCAAGTGACAGATATGTAGGCATCATATATATTAGCAACATGTAGAGATGTGCGTGTAGCTACTAGCGTGTGAAAGAAACCCATGATATATTGTGTCTCTTGTGAGTGAGTTTAACTTATGATAATTCTAAAGGTGATTTCTTGATAACTTTTTTTTTTTTTTTTTTTTTAAATAAATGATAAGAGAGGATAACAGATATTAAAGTTGATTTATAAAACATTCTAATTAATTATGTTAGCACCCTCTCAATAACTAATATCCTTTATCAAAGTGCTTTCTTGATAACTTTCCAAAATGCATATGCGTGTATATATATAGCTAGGAATACTACAATATATAACATTTTTGTAAGAACTTAAGGTATATTTAGGTTTTTCAGTACTTCCAAAATATAGGACCATAATATACTTCTATAATAAAGCATTAGATATGTATGAATACCTATAGTTTTCTTGCAGGTTCTGCAGTTGATGTCTTAAGATCGCTGCCTCCCTTTGCCAAAACTGTCATCAATCACATTAATATAACCATATATATATATATATATATAAGTGTAAATGACGTGATTGTAAATATGATCTCTAGTCTCGACCTAAATATCAAACATAAATTTCAGCTTTGAGAGTTGAACAATAAGGGAATTGGGTAATACACATACATAATATAATACGTATATATATGTGTGTGCGCGCGCGCATGCATCAACATCTTAGAATGTACATTATAGGCAGTACTATAACATGATGCTATAATACTTCATCTACATAAACTTCTTCCAAGAATACTATTAAGCTTCCTTTACTTGACATATTTTGTAGAGATTCTGCTCAGACGAGAATTAGTCAAACGATAGAACTGTATCTCCATGAACTATAATTGTTCTTATTTTAGCTTTTATGGTTTGTCACTTATAAGAAATAATGATATAGCAAACAAATAAAAGTACGATATGGATTAATATTAATTAACCGCACCTCAGGATGAATTCTTTTGATTAGATACTTTTCTGATGGCAAATATGATTTAGCAATGGCAAAATATGTGTCTGCGTTTCTATACGTATCTACGTACATGCATGGGTCATTAGTAGTACATGTATGTGTTTTTGCATGTTTACACACTTAAGATTCGTACATGTATATATTAAACAATGTTTCTCAATGTTTCACACGTATTTGTTGGAAGCATTTTTCCGCTCAAAATTATGTTGTTTGCTACAGATCGAAACAATCCAAGTACAATTTTCTAAGAATTTTTAACAATATTGCAGACACTGAACAACTAGTACAGAATACATAATTGCACAAAAGCAAATATATATATATATAGACACGCGCGCGCGCACACACACACACATATATATATATATATATATATATGTACTAGCAAGTGTGTGCAAAATTTGAATTCAAACAACTGCGCATAAATGTGTTTGGAAATGAAGGAAAATTTGAGTGTATTTTCTTATAATTAATGGCAAAAACAGCCACTAAAATGTCTGTCTGCAACGTATGTATATACGGAGAAAGTTATTAACTTTTTGTTTACTTCTTATGTTCTTTGCTTTCTTCCTATAGTTTGTCACTCTATAATTCCATTCAAAGATAATCTTTGGACTTTCTTAAACAAGATTCTTTGATATATCTAGCAATTCCATGTCTTTTGTCTAGGAGACCAAATCACATTATTAAACTTGTTTTTTCGTTTCCTCATTTAATCATTTAGCTATAGGCGTTATTTAATTGTAAAACATATATATGTTGGAGATTATAATTATACCTTCACTTCTGACGTTGGATTGAGAAGTTGTTGATGTTCCTCCTTTGACTTATTATATCTCTCTATCACAGATTTCATTCTGAAGAGATGATCAAAATAAATTAAATGATCAAATACTGAACAAAGTGCGATATATATATATATACATATAGCATGTATATACATACTATATATGCTTTTGCACTTCTATATGTGCATTAATATGTAAGTCGGAAGTTGCATAGAAATGAAACTTGTATTAAATTAGGGGAGAAATATTGATCAGCAAACGAAATTAAAGAAAAATAAATTTTTACTGCATATGCCTAGTAAAATGGAATCCCGTGCACAGGGAATGCATGAATAGCTATTGATAATGAGAAGTACTATTTGTCCAAAGTAGTTCTATTTCTACGACAAAAAGCATTTTCTGATAGAAGTTTTCGTTTCTAAAATGCTTAAACTTATCTGTAATTGTAGTTTTAAGATATTCCAGAGATCAATCACTTGTATAAAAGAGAGAGAGAGAGATAACATCACAGTTCGTTCTAGAAATGACATTTAGAGACAAATATTTTGTCTCTCTCTCTCTCTCTATATAGGATCCCCTCTAAGAGAATGTTGGCTGTAAAGCTTCCTTCCAAATCCTAGAGACACAATTGCTTAGCGTCACTAATTATGTCACTTTCTGCACGTGAACTTCACTATCTCATTTTTCTGTTAAATATTAATATTATCATATTAATGGGATCCATGTGTCAAAAGTATAAAGAGACAAAATTACTTCGCCCTAATAAATATTAACAAAAATGCAAAAAAAAAAAA